AAAAAAAAAAAAAACCTGCATGGGGCGGTATCCGACAACGGACACCACCACCCCACACTTTCACAAAACCCCTACCCCCCCCCCCAACCGCGCTGAAACGCGGTTCGCGGACCCCGTTCATTCGCGTCCAACGCGCGTTTGAACGGGGATTGAACGCGAATTCAACGCGCGTTCAATTTTTCAACGCGAAACGCGCGTTGACCCGATTTTCGGACACAAAGGCCACTATGAACCGCTTGCTCAGAGAACCCACTGAATCATTCGAAAGAACTCAACAACAACAAGCCAACAAGACCAACAAAAACAGACGCGATGCCATCTTTAACATAGGGGACAAAGTCTACCAAACGCTTTGAACCCGAAGCGGCTTGTTAAAGAAACTCTCAAACAACTGGCTCGGTCCTTTCCCCATCATAGCACAAACATCCCCTGTAAATTACAAACTTCAACTACCCCTGACATGAGTCGTGCTCACCCTGTCTTCCATGTTGAGTATTTAAAAGAATACTATGAATCACCTCCACAATTCGCTGACTGCCCATATGTTAGACCCCCACCAATCATGTTGCCTACCGGGCCGAAATTTGTGGTTAAATCTATCATAGGATGAAGAACAACTCAAGTATCCGATCACCCGAAACCAGTCACTGAATACAAAGTTAAATAGACCGGATATCCAGATGAAGAATCTACATGGGAACCCCTCGACAATCTCAAGAACGTTGTCGGATGCATCTGTCCCGCAAGAGGGATCTTCTTGGCCGCGTTACGCAGGATTTGGTCTTATCGTGGTACGCATGGAGCTTTCGTAGCCGCTTTGGCTGAGTGCGCCAACCATACCTCTCGCGAGCCCCTACGATAGGATAGGGCCTACGCGAGGTACAACTTTACCTCCACCTGCGGGAGTTGTCACCTCCCTTCAGTGGGCGTATCTCCGTCGAGCTACAGGTCCACAGTACGAAAGCTAATCAATTGCAATCGCAGAGGTAGGCCAGCCAAGGGTGCTTCTCGTACGCTATAGCATAGGGGGTACGCGCGGTCGTACGCCTCTATCGGATATGCATGCGAACCGACACATTAGGGGTCTGAAGTCTCAAGTGCGACTCGTCGTCGGTCGACTAGGACGCATCCCACTCACTACGCGTTACACCACGCTAAAAACGTAAAATTAAAAACATGCTTAGACGAAACAAAACACTCCTAGTCCCTTCTGTATCCGACCCATAACCTTTTAGCAATGAAAACGGTTAAGCGTCGCGCGCGAGACTTATATAAAATCACGTGGACGCAAGACCTTCTCATATCGACTAGCAATGCATGATTACGCAAGCAGTTGCAATGATGGCGTATCATGTAGTACCCATAGTCACGCGGACCTCAGTGGTCTCGAGGGTCGCGTTCGACACTCAAGCGTCGACTGACACGCGCCTTGAGGGGTTAAACTCTCGATGCTAGACAACCGCGAAGGTGGCTGATCACCACACCCTCTCTCGAGGCCTTGGAGGCAAACTCCATCATCCAGGGCCTGGAGAGAAATCAATGGGTTTGACTTTGATGGTTGCCATGGACTACAACGCCCAACCATAGTAATTCTATAAAGCAAAAGGTAAAAAGGGGGTCTCCCTTTTCTCTTAAAGCGAAATATGTTTGAACCTTACGCATGGTCGCAATAAGCCGCCCAGACACTCAAAGTATATATATATGAGGATATATATACACATATAAAGGGTTATAAGTATGAGACGATCACTTCTCACAATCACAGTGGGACTCACCTTAGCCATATATATATGTGTGTGATCGCGGGCAGTCAAATTCAGAGTCCGAACCACAAAACATACCTGCAATTCAACCAAAGGTCCATGCACTACACGTGGTCAACTTCAACCTACTCTCTGCGCTCACACCCCTCGCTTTAGCCAAACAAACCTCAACCTTTGTTCAACCTTCCCGCAATAAAATACTTAGTATCTTTGTCAAATGGCCATTCAATAAAGTCCGGGTGAAAACCCAACAAAACAAATCAAACCACAGGGCTAAAACCTTTAGGTGGAGTTGGCGAGAGTAAATTGGAGTTGAATCGTAAACCGACGAATTGACAACCGACCTATTGTCAGTGATAACAGAAGATGATCCTCGTGGGATTAAGCTGAAACTAGTCCAATCCCGGATCGAAATGTCCAAAGAAGGCCTGTGACACAAAACAGGCCAATGCCGATAGCTAGACCATCAATGTATGGGGAATGAACCTCCATAACACATTCTCACTTAAGATTGTCCTGCTAACTAAGTTTAAGTCTACCTCCTAGCAAGTGCTCAAAGAAAGGTAGACCTTTGGCAGAACCTTCCCTATGCAGGGTGGATCGTCAGAAACGCCACCTGTCAAAATATAATCTAACTCCTTTAAACTAAGAAAATTTCGGCAGCGCTTCCCGTAGGAAAAGTGCCTTTTTAGAATTTATACTACCCTGAATACGAAAACTGAAATAGTCCTTAACTTAAATTTTGTCTAACTCTCTGAATTAGTAAAAATTGGGGCAGCATTTCCTTTAGAGACGTAGACTTTCCAAATTTATACTAAGTCAGAAAAGAACTTGAAACAAAATTTGAGTTCCTGCCAAAACAAAATTTAACTAATTCCTTAGATTTGTAGAAATTTCAGCAGCGCTTCCCGTAGAGAAAGTAACTTTCCAAAATTTATATAAAGCTAAGTACAAAATCTGAAAAAATCTTGTCGTTCTAAGGTCAAACTTTATCTAACTCCTTGAGTTAGCGAACATTTGGGCAGCACTTTCCCCAGAAAAGAAGACTTTCCATATTTTTATTAAGACAGATATAAACTTGAAAAAAAAGTTGAACTTTTGAAAGCCAGATTTTACCGACTCCTTGGTTTTGTAGAAATTTTGGCAATGCTTTCCATAGGAGAAGTACCTTTCAAAGATTTATACAAAGCCAAGTATAACAAGTGACCCCAGAAAATGTGAGAATTGACATAAGTTAAAAAATGTTAGCTCAGTTAATGTAGGAATTGAAGCTTACTCCTATACCTCTAACACGTGGCGAGCAACTAAAGCAATTACCTGTCAAACTGAAACTCAGACTAAGTAAAACTCTCACTCAGCCACTCGCAAATCCAAACCGCAATGGTAAGTACTCTCACCAACCCCAAGGTTAAACCTTGTCAAATAATAGTTCATAGTCTTTCAATGATTTATCCTTTATGCCCAACTTACACAAGGCGTAAAGCTAGACTATCCAACTTAGGAAGAATGGTCTAGCTCAGCCACTGAATATACACAAACACATGGCACCACAACTTTGGGCATGTGACTACACCGTCCAACTTAGAACAATGCCTAGTCTCCCTGAAATGTTTAAGATAATCAAGTTATATATACCTTTTTGCCCCTTGTCTTTTAAGGTAGCATATGATTGAACCGTTCAACTTAGAACCACCTGCCCCTTCTTACCACCAGTTTATTCTTAATTAATAATCTCGCCAATTTGTAATAAGCTATAGTCAGACCATCCAATCTTATGGAACAATTGTCTGACTAACTTATGCATAAGTATAATTGTATAAGAGTATAGATGAAAAATATCCTTTTTGTGCGTGACTTTTGATCAGACTATTCAATTTATGGAACAATTGTCCAGTCCTTCTCCTGATCCTCCCTCAGAATAAAACAAGAAGAGGTTCAAGTCATCCAAACTTATGGAACAATTGCTCAAACTCCTTTAAAAAACAAAGAAACATTAGAAACCCCAAAAATAAAACAAGGCGGCAAAGCCATCCAATCTTATGAAATAA